GGTCATATCTACAGTACCAGACATGTGTTTCCTCCTGTGGAGCAGCCTTAAATCCAATAAAAAAGCAGTTGATTACCCCCATAGCATCCATGCCACTATTGCACCCCCATGGGCTTATCTTGCCATGCCAGTCATTATTGAAGTTCATAGAATTCGCAGCTGGGTAAGACTGTTGATGACATTTTCCCCCATTAGCCTGCATAGCACCTTCCAGTACTGTGAGAGTCAGCGGGAGGAAGCTTCCTGGTCAGTACCAACTTGATTCCTTTATGTCCTGTGATCAATATATGCGGTGTCTTCAGCAATATGGTCTTGCCATTAAGTTCTGGTGAGCAAACAGGAGCAATGACATTACCCTGCATCCATTTGGGGGGGTGTCTCTGGGACAACTCTGACCAACAACTTGAGGGGAGATATCCTATACCTGGCACTGGGCTTTTTATTTGGCAACCTATGATTCTGGCATGAGCATAATCCCCTGTGTAGGGTAACTCCAATGAAACACACACACACACACACAGAGGCACGCACGCATGCACACAAACACAGAGCTTATAAAATAGTGGATTTCTCTAATGTAAAGGGAGGCTTAAGTAGAGAAAGGGATGGGAGGGCAGAGCCGAGGAGGGGGTTGGGGGAGGGATAAGTAACTCTAAGGATGTTTAAAATAGCATGGTATTTCATCTGTGGTGCAGAGTCCTTGGAGCTATTGGTCAGATGACTTCTCCAAATGAATCATTGTGAGGAGAGTGAAGTTTGTACACGCATGAAAATGCAAAACTGTGGATGAGGAACTGACTAAAAGACAGTCATAGTATTCTGTGAAAAACAGTAAGTTACAGAACCACAATTTTGGAGAAGGAGTGGGGAAATAAAGAAAAGGTAGAAATATTTAGTAGGTCTCAATAATTGGTCAGATGTGCATCTCATCAACCTGAGATGAAAATTGCATGGAAATACCTCTTGTTTTAAACCCTTTCATTGGATCTTTTAATTATGGTTTATATAAAGTAGAACAATCCCTTTTTAGAGGTTTGATGCACTGAGGATTGAACCTAGGGTGTTTTGCTTTTCCCACTCAAGTTCACCCCATGCCTCTCCTTTTGTTTGTCACCTTATTTTTAATTAGCTTACATAGTAACATGATTTCTTATGGCATTTTCATACATAGTTTTGGTTGATTCACCCCAACACACACACTCCTTACCCCATCCCCGGCCTTCTTTCCGCTACTCTGTCCTGGCCCCAGTATTTCCCTGTCCATTGTCATCTCTCATCTGTTCTGCTGTCTTCCCTACTGCCTCCATTAAAGCCTCTTTTTTCCATCTTCTGGGCCCCTTCCTAGCTTTCTGGCCTTTACTCACACTTACACATCCTTAACGAAGCTAGGATCCCCAAATGAGACAGCATCAGTATTTGTCTTTCTGAGCCTGGATTGCCTTAATTGTTTTCCAGTTCCATCAATTTTCCTGAAAATTCCTCTAATTACATTTTTATGGCTGAATAAAATCCCATTGTGTATATGTACAACATTTTTATCACCATTCATCTGTTGATGGGTATCTAGGTAGGTTGTATTTCCCAGCTATTTTGAATAGAGCAGCAATGAACATGGATGTGCAAGTGTCTCTGCTGTAGGATACAGAGTTTTTTGATATACCCAGGAGTCATATAGCTGGGTCATATGGTAGTTATTTTAAGTTTTATTAATCTTTATATTTTATTTATTTTATGTGTATAAATATTTTGATTGCATGTATGTTGTTTACCTGTATGTGTAATGCCAGTGGAGGCCAGAAGAGAGCATCGGATCTCCAGGAACTGAAGTTACAGATAGTTCTTAGTTGCCATGTGGGTACTAGGAACTGAACCCCGGTCCTATGCAAGAGCAGTCTTCACTCTTAACCACTGAGCCATCTCTCCAACCTCTATTTTTAGTTGTCATCTGCTTTCTTTAAATTTTTTTTCTTTATTTTTGAGACTTTCATACATGGATACAATGAAATAAAATTATGTAACCCCTCCCTTTCCCATTCAACTCCCCCCATATTCCCTCTCCCAACTTTGTCTTTTGTCCTGAATTTGTGATTTTTCATACAATGTAATTTGGCAATGTTTAGATCCCCTTCTCAACACCTCCCCTTATTGCCCTCTGCCCAATTTAATGTGCTCTGTCATACATATAATACAGCCTATAGAGTCCGATTTGTGTCTCCAAATGCCCTTCAGTGTGGGGCCATCCACTGGAGGCCACTAAGTCCAGTTAGTATTGCCCACGTGCAGGACCATCCACTGGAGCATGGGAAACCTACCAGTTGCCATATCCTCAATAAAGAATGATTCTCCCCCTCCACTCCCCCAGCAACTATCCACTGCCAATAGCGCCTCAGTAAGGGGTGGGGCCTGGAGATCATCTACTCCATCCTGCTGGGAACTTAACTGTCTTGATCCTGTATAGGTCTGTGCTATAGAACATTGGAAGCTAGTCTCCCTCCCCGACCACAAGCCTGTCCCTACCCATCCTCTCCCATCCCTCCTCCCCACATATCTCCCAGGCTTGTGTAACACCGTTCTAGTATCTACTTTTCTGAGATCAAATTTTTTATTTCTTCCAATCAGGAGGACATTTGGTATTTGTATTTAGGAACCTGATTTGTTTCTCACTTAATGTCCTTTACAACCTTCTTTGAAATAGAAACTCAATACAAATCCTTTTATATCTGGCTTGTTTCATTCAAAGCATGTACATGAGAAGTCTGAAGTCTGGTGACCTGAGCTCCACCCCCTAAACCCAGATGATGGAAAGAGAGAACTGATTCCCACAAGTTGACCTCCACATGTGCACATGTCATGGCATGTGTGCACATGCACACATAAACAATAAATAAATAGGTAAATGTAAAAAAGTTTAAGAATGTACAATACAGTTAATAGAAAGTATGTCAATTAATTTTTAAGAACATGTAATATTTGAGGTTAAATCTTGATTTAATAAGTTTAATAGGACAGCATACATAAGTACATATCATTAGTTAAAACATTTCCAGCTCTTAAATACTGAAGTGACAGTTGGTCTTCAATAAGAATACAATTGGTGTTTTTAAAAATATACTTATGGGTGGTGGGGAAGAAGGAAGTCCCTAGTGTTTCCTATAAGGAGGACGAGGACAACATTTTGGAGTGAGTTGATGTGATTGCTAAATCCAATGACATGATGATTTCCTCCAGTGTTTCCTTTTGAGAGTTTTATACTTTTAGCTTTTAAGTTTAGATCTTTGATCCACCCACCTTGAGTTAGTTCTGCATATAGTGTAAGGTAAAGGACCCATTTCATCCTTTGTGTGTGGATAACCAGTTTTCTCTGATCTTCTTTCTGAGAGGACCAGTCTTCCCCATTGAATCATGTGGGCAACCCTTGTTGAGAAATCAATTACCCTTATATGTGGAGGTTTGTTTCTGGACTTTCTATTCATTTGCCTTGATCTGGATGGCTGTCCCAATGGTAGTATTATACTATTTACTTTTATTATATGTGTATGAGTGTATTGCTTGCATGCATGTAAATGTACCTGTGTCATGCAATGCCTGTGTAGGTCCAGAGAGGGCATCAGATCCCCTGGAACTGGAGGTACAAATGGTTGTCAGCTGCCATTCGGGTGCTGGGAATTAAGTCTCAGTCCTCTGCAAGAGCAGCCACTGCTCTTCACCACTGAGTCATCTCTCTATCAGCCCCATATCCTCCTGTTTTAACCACTGTAACATTGAGATAAGCCAAAGTCAGCCAGTATGAGTGCTCCAATTTCATTCTCTTCGGGTAGGTTTTGGCAGTTTGGAATCCCATGCCATCGCATACATATCTGGAGAGGGACTTCTTTTCAGTGAAAATGGTGCCTGCTAGGACTTGTGTTGAATCTATACATCACTCAGAGACTATTGACATTTTAACAATATTAAGTCTTTCTAATGATGAATACAGGATTTCTTTCCATTTATTTGGGTTTGTTTCATTTCTTCCAGTGATATTTTGTAGTTTTCAGTGTCTGAAACTTTCATATCTTTAGTAAGATTTATTCTAAGTATTTAATTCTTTTAGATGTATTGTAAATGCAATTGATCTCTTAAATGTCCTTCCTATATTTATAGAAATCTTTCAAATATCCCCTGAACATATAGAAACAGTTGTTTGTTTCTATGTGCAATATTGTTGAACTCCTTTGTTAGTTCTAGCAACTTTCTGGTGAATTACTGTGTATTTTCTATGCACAGAATCATGTCATCTGTGACTAGAGACAATTCAACTTCTTTGCAGTTTGAACATCTGGGCAATTAATATTTTAAAGTTAGAAGTCAAGAGCAAGACATAATAGAGTGAAGCTGAGTAGATAGGTCACTAAAGTGTTTGCCATATTAGACATGAGGACCTGAGCTTGATCCCAGTACCCACATTGTCGGCATGCAGTGAAATCCCAGTGCTGGGAGGCAGAGACTGAAGGAGGACTCCTGGGGCTCACTGGCCAGCTTTGCCTGATTGGCTAGCCTCAGTCCAAGTGAGAGACCTTGTCTCAAAAAACAAGGTGGATAACTCCTGAGGAACTATATCCAAGACTGATCTGTGGCTTCCACATGTATGTACACACGTGCACAAGCGCCCCCTCCCATGAACATACACATACACACACACAGAGTGAGAGCAGAGCAAGCAAGCAAGAGAGAAAGAGAGGGAGGGAGAGAGCGAGAGAGAATCAAAGGCTAAGAGACTCCGCCACGCAGTACCTTGAAAGGAAGCTCTGACTCTGGTGCTGCAAATGGCTAAATTCTTGTGATTTTTTTTGGAATGAAAATCTATTTCTTTTAGACAAAAAAAAAAGTTGTTTACAGAAAAGTAGGAAGGAGATATCATTGAGACAGAGAGAAAATGAGCTGGCACCGAAGCAAGCACGGATGGCTTGGTGTGGGCATTAAGTGTGCTTCTCACCCTCCGCAATGCAAGTCTGTGGGAGATGCCAGGGCCTGAGCTGGCTGGGCCTATTAAGTGCAAGGTAAGGATTACCCTGAGGCCAACGCCACAGGTGACCACTGTCCAGACTCCTTGGAGTCTAACCTTATCTGGTGTGACTCTGGCGTTGACAGATCTATTCGGCCGGGTCTTTGGCGCATACTGACTTTGGTTCCTTTGTTCTCTGTTCTGCAGCTGTGACTCCCTTGGAAATGAACAATCAAACACATGTCACAGAATTCCTCTTCTTGGGATTTTCCAACCACTCCAACCTACAGGCCATATTCTTCCTAGTTTTCCTGGTCATTTACTTGACAACTCTCCTGGGGAACACACTCATAATCATGGCCACCAGGGCCATCCCTGCCCTCCACACCCCAATGTACTATTTCCTCGGCAACTTGAGCTTCTTGGACATCTGCTACACCTCCACCACCATTCCAGTCATGCTGGTGAACTTCTTCCGGGAGAAGAAGACCATTTCCTACGAGGGCTGCCTCTCCCAGATCTTCTTCTTTGTGACATGTGCTGGCACAGAGGGTGTCTTGTTGGCTGCCATGGCTTATGACCGCTATGTGGCCATTTGTCGCCCTCTTCAGTATCGAGTTCTCATGAGCCTGAAGGTCTGTGTGTGCTTGGTGACCGGGTCCTGGCTGTGTGGCTTGGTGAACTCTGTGACTCACACGGTGCTGGCGACCACACTCACTCTGTGTGGACCCAACCAGATCAGCCACTTTCTCTGTGACATCCCCCTGCTCCTGAAGCTCTCCTGCTCAGACACGTCTGTCAATGAGTCTGTGCTCCACGTGGCCAGCGCCACCATCGGCCTGAGCCCCTGTCTGTTCACTGCAGGGTCCTACGTGCTCATCATCTCGGCCATCCTTAGGATTCCCTCTGCGCAGGGGAGGAGCAAGGCCTTCTCTACCTGTGCCTCCCACCTCACTGTGGTGGTGGTCTTTTTTGGAACCGCCAACTTCAACTATGACAGACCCAGGGAAGGCTACTCCCTGGACATGGACATCCTGGTGTCTGTGCTCTTCTGTGTTGTGACCCCCATGTTGAACCCCATCATCTACAGCCTGAGAAACAAGGAGGTGAAGGGTGCTCTGAAGAAGTTTACTAGAAAAAAATGGGTTCTCTATTGAGATCAGCAACTAGATTGTTTACCTTTATCTTTTTTCCTTTTTCCTTCCATCCTTTCTTTTTGAAATATTTCATTGACATATTTCAATTGTATGAAGTAATAGATTTCATTATGGCTTTTTAATACATGTATATAGCATGCTCTCCTCATGTTCACCCCCTGTGACCTTTTATTTTTCTTTCTTACTTTTTGTTTTTGATTTTGTTTGCAATAGGGTTTTATGTAGCCTCAGCTGGCCTCCAACTCACTATGTAGCCAAGGATGACTTTGAAATTCTGATACTCCTATCTCTGTCTCTGGAGTACTGAGATGATAGGCATGCATCACTACACACAGTGTATGTGGTGTTGGTGATGGAGCACAGGACTTTGTACATGCCTAGTAAGTCCTCTAGCAAGTGAGCCACATCCCTAGGCCTCTATGAACGTTTTTTTAATCTGCCTTCTCCCTCTCACTAAATTTTTCTTCTTTTACTTTTATGTATTTCTCTCCCTGCTTCCCACCCCCAAGTTCACATACGAAAGAAAATGTATGATGGTTGTCTTTGTGAGTCTGGCTTATTTCTCTTAATATAATGGTATTTTATTCATTTTCCTGTAAATAATACAATTTCATTTCTCTTTATGATTGAACACAACTCCATTGTAAATATATGCTGTGCTTTCTTTGTTCATCTTTTTGGCACCTGCGTTAATCTTGTGATTTGGTTCTTTGAGTAGTGCTGTAATAAACAACAGTATCATGTATAGCATCTATAGAGTAAGATTTTGGGGGTACATACTCAGAAGTTACACAACTGAATCATATGGAAGTTCTATTTTTTTCATTCTAAGCAACCTCCATCCTGACTTCCATAACTTATGTATTAATTTGCATTCCCAGGAGCAGGGTATAAGGGTTTATTCCCCCCACATTCGTGACAGCATTTGTCATTTTTTTGTTTCTTTTCTTGAGTATTAGCTATTCTGACTGAATATGGTGGAATCCTACAGCAGTTTTCATTGGCAATTCCTTGATGCCTAAATACATTAAACTTTTTTCATGTATTTATTGACCATCTGTACTTCCTCATTTGCAAGTGTCTGTTTAGTTCATTTGCCCATTTATTGTTGGATATTTGTTCTTTAGGTGGTTATTTTTTGAGTTCTTTATCTATGCTGGGTGTTAATCCTTTTATTCCCCAAGCTATTGGAGTCCTATTGCCATTGCCTATGTCTTTAAGTGTTTTTTTATATATATTTTTCTTTAATAGGTTCAAATTTACATTGAAGTATTTGATCTATTTTGAGTTGATTTTTTCAGAGAGTAAGAGAGAGAAATCTAGCATTTTTCCTAGCCAATTTGAGCTCTCCTTTTTTCTTTTAAATTTTTTAGTTTTTAATGTACGTGTATGAGTGTTTTTGCCTACATGTTTGTAAGTGTGTGACATGCATGAAATGTCCACAGAGGTCAGAGGAGGGTGTCAGAAGCCCCGGAACTGGAGTTACAGATGGTTCTTATCTGCCATGTGGGTGCTGGGAACCGAACCTGGGACTTCTTCAGATCAGCCAATGCTCTTAACTGCAGAGCCATCTCTCCAGTCCCTCCCTTTTCTTTTATTCTGATCTTATTCTCTTAGAGAATTGCAAGTACATTCTCATTGTTCATCTGGACTTTAGAAAAACATTTATTTATTTACGCTTGGAGAGAGAGAGCACAAGTGTGCTATGACATACATGTATAAGTCACAGGACAACTTGCAGGAGTCAGTTTTCTCCTTCCACCACGTGAGCCACAGGGATTGAATTCAAGTCTTCAGCCTCAGCAACAAGCACCTTGTATTAGTCAGGTTCTCTAAAGAAACAGAACTAGTAGAATGAATATACATACATACACATACACACACACACACACACACACACACGCACACACACACACATATGTATATATATATATATATATATATGGATTTATCAGATTAGCTCACAGGACAGAACCCGAGTAGTCCAACAAGGGCTGCACCACACTTGAGTGGCCAAGAATTCAGTAGTCATTCAGTCCATAAGGCTGGATGTCTCAGTAGTCCCAATCTAGTGCTGAAGGTCTGATGAATTCCTAAAGATCAGCTAGTCTTCAGTCTACAGCAGGAAGACAAACTCACCAGCGAGAGAGAAGGCAAGCAGCAAAAAGCAAGCATTCTCCTCTTGTATAGCCTTTTATACAGGCTGCCATCAGAAGGTAACACCCACACTTAGGGTGTGTCTTCCAGCTTCAGATGATCTAATCAAGAAGATCACTCTCATTTTAGTTAATCCCAGTCAAGTTGAGAACCAGGATTAACTATCACACACCTTTACAGCTGAATCATCTCACCAGCATGGACCTCTCACTTTGAACTTAGTTTTATATAGTGCCAGACTGTATATCTGAGTTGCTCATCAAAGTTTTCCTTTTCCTCTTCCAGAAAAACCCCACCTGACTAAATAGGATTCTTTCCTCCCTTGCCATGGTTTCTAGCATGTGGTGTTAAGGATCTTTAGCTCTTTTCTTAAGTTCATCTGCTTTCTGTCTACTGTCTACTGTTGTGTTCCTATGCCTTCCACGTGACCCTGGTCTCCCTGTAGCCACCTGCCTGATGGTTTGTTTCAGACTCATGGAAGCACAAGAAAGTACTGGGTGTTTCTAATCCTCTATCTTCCCTTCCAAAAGTCTAGGTAGCACTTCACATTCTGGAAATTTTCTCTTTTTTTAACTTTTAAAAAAATTGAGAATTTCATACATGCATATGTGTTTTGATCAAATCCACACCCACTCCCTCTCCTCCAACTACTCCCATATCTCCCCATCATTTTTTTCTAACGACATAGTGTACTCTTTCTTTTTGGAGGGTGGAGGTGCTACTCTAATATTCCCCCCTCTGAAGAGGTAACCCTAAAATCTTTTACTGGTTAGAGAAGAGCTCCCAAATACTTTTGACATTTTTGGCCTTTGGCTGGTTTTTGTTTTTTTTTGTCTTTTTAAGACAGGGTCTCTCTGTAGCCCCAGCTGTCCTAGAACTGACTATGTAGACCAGGCTGGCCTCAAACTCACAAAGATCCACCTGCCTCTGCCTCCCAAGTGCTGGTATTAAAGGCATGCACCACCTCGCCCAGCTCATTTTTGGCCTTTGGAACAGTGTATGTTGTTAAGAGGCTCAAGGACATTTTGACTTTTAGCCAAGAAACTGGCTACATTTCTTTGAGGTCTTTTTACCATAACTACCTAGCCAATTTCTACCTCCTATTTTTATCACACCATCCTCTGAAGAGGTTACCCAACTTATGGATATGGAATCTAGGCACAGACTGTTCTGGCTTCTTCCATACTGAACAGGGACATAGGGTGAGGCAACTGGGGTACCCCTTCAGTGGGCCTATATAAAAGACTTCCAAATTGCATAACTCTTATCTGTAGGTAGAAAAGAAAGTCCTTGACTGGTACCTAAGAGATTTGAAGGAGAAGTAAAGCCAAGAGTAGTTATCATTTCAAGTTCTAGACAAGGAACCGGAAAAAAAATCAAAACAGGGAAAATTTCAATTACTCATATAAGAGGCCATTGGGATTTCTTGACGAGAGCTTCCAAAAGCATCCCTCTATTGGGTTTCTCTTCATTTTTCTTTTGTTTGCCAAGGCTGGACTTGAGAATGATGGACTCAGGATTTGTTTGCAGGCACTTTGATAACTGTTGGAATGGTTAGAATCAGCGTCAGTTGCCTCTTAAAGGCTTCTAGATAGGGAAAGAAAACAAATTTACCCATCATTTTAGAACAATAGTGGGTTATCTCCCTTACCTACAGGTGGGCACTACAATATTGCAGACCACGATTTGAGCAGCACTTTCTGATTCAGAACAAAATCATCAATGAGAAATAATTGTCTAAATAATTTTATATGGACTTAAGCCTAATGCCTGGGAAGTGTAATTCCTTGAACTCTAGAACTATACTGATCACTTCAATCTTTGGTTATACTTTCCTTTTGGGTGTTTAAGACCATTCATTTGGCCCAAATAGCCCACTTTATTTTTACTCTTCATGTCATTTGAGGATCTGTTCCTCAAGGTTCACATGGGCTTGGGAACCCCTGGCTTCTTTCTTTTACCAATTCCATCTATGTAAAGATAAGTCAAAGGCCCCCCTCAACCATGGCTGGCTTCACTTGGAAGCATGGAGGAAATATTTCCTCTCTGTTGACCCTCCACTCTGTAAACTGGACACTGGTTCAAGTCAATCTGGTGGGGTCTCCATGGCCTCCCTGAATAAGAGGAGAGGTGACTCACCACAGTTACAGAACATTTTGAGAGATGCTCCATAGTCCCCTGGAACTTAGCTAACTTTGAGGGCCAAGGAGCAAAAACTGTCCTTGAAGTCCCTCTGACCAGATTAGCACAGGCCTCAAAGTATGGCTGTTAAACATCCAAGGTTAGTTCCATCCAGTCTGGTACTTTTAATTACCCATATGCCATGTAGACAGAACTTGGGCAAAAACCACCTGTCGCATTCTTTATATATCATAACAAACCTACACAAACATTCATCACTTGCTTAGGCTTTCTCATTTTTTTTCTGTCAATTTTGTCCATTTCCATATACATTTAACATCTTTTACATTCTCATCTTCTCTTTTAATAATTATGAGACACAATAACATTAACAAATAAATTTTCCATCTTTTGTGAGAATTCTTTTCCTGGGGATACTAAGCAATGCTTATCCCCTTTTAAGGTTCTAGTGTCAAACCAATATTTGATTAAAATTTTCCTGGGGAACCAATGAATTTACTGAGCTTACTTCAGAGATGACTGATGGATTGCTGAGGTGTATGAGTGACCTGAGGGTATGCACACTGGAAAGCCTTTACCCAGCATGGGTCAAGTCTTCTCCTCCTAACCTTCCCCAGATTATATACTTTAGTCCTCCACATCCAGGATCCTATTGTAGAGACACTTGTACATCCATGTTTGTTGATGCTCTTTTCACAAGA